GGAGGAGCGGGCGGCTGCGAGCGCCTCGGGGCCACGGGCAGCTGGAGACATCTTTGTTCCTCAGCCTTCCCCTCAGTGCCGGTGGCCCAGGGCCACTGGCTCCAGCACCCAGAGCTGGCTGGGAACTGACCATTGAGGCGATCATTGTTGGAAAACAGTAATTTTCTGAAATTGAAACTTTTAATGGTGATGTCCGTGTGTGTGGGGGAGACTGAGTCCCCTGGTCCTGTGGTCTGTCTCCTACCTCCACCCTCCAGCATGGGTAGGTCAGTGCCCATCCCCATGTGGAACAGGAAGGTTTTGGACCCTCAGACACTTCAGACGAGAAACGGCTTTTCCAGCCAGCCCTGGCCATGCCGCCTGCTAGCGCAGCTCCAGCCGGGTCAGCCAGCCTGCTTGGGCAGGGCGGTGGCACAGCTCAAGCCGAGAGGAGGGCTCGTGATCCGGTGTCGCAGGATTACAGGCCAGAGGCGTGGAGAGCTGGCGGGAGGGGCAGCCTGGAGAGGGGCCGAAAGGGGGGAGACTTGCCCTTCACGCCCCTGCCACAGCCATCCCAGCCGGGGACTGGGTCCCTCCCCACCTGCTGGGACGCCCTGGGAACCAGCAAGCAGCTGCCACAACTCCATCATCCGGCTGAAAAACCAGGTACAGGCTGAGGCAGCTTGGCCCTGACAGCCCAGTGCCGCTCTTTCAGATGCTGCTTCCCAGCAGAGCAATACCGGCAGTAGGTCTTACTAGGTATCTTTATTTTAAAGAGGATTTACCAGGAGGAGCATGTCAGAGCACAGTGCTGGAATCCATCGCTTCTGCTCAATGGAAACTGCTGCTGCCAAGCGCATCCCTTTGCCATCTCTGCATTCACCTAACTGGCTGCAGCAATGGATGCACGAGTGACCTCAGGCTGTATTGCTGCTGCCAAGACGTGAAACATCGGCTTCCCTCTGCTGTCACCACCTTAACAGCAGGCATTTCCATGTCAGAAGTGTTGCAAACTTGTGACACAAATACCTGAGTGATTTTCTTAATGGTATGAAGAAGGGTCATGTTCGGAGACTGTGTAGTTGAAGAAAATACACAACCAGGATCTAAAATCACGCAGGAACTTGCTAAATCATGCTGTTGGGCCTGAAATAGTTTCCCTCCCATTTTTGACTGATAGCAAGTATCTGCCCTATATTGACACAGTATAGTAGGACACATGTCATTACATGATGCACATTTGACAGAGGCTGTGGTCCGCACTACTGCAGCATTTCAGTCAGAGAACATTAAAATAGAGTGTTATGTTCAAGAGAACTTGTGGCAAGGGCTACATACAGTCTTTGGAGAAAGACCTACCTGTAAGCGGAAGAGATGACAAGCAGCAGCTGGGGACCAGTTCCTGCTGCCATCTCCTCGAAAGCATCTCGTTTCTGACTCAAGCCAACAAGTGCAATTAGCTTTGTCCTATGTAGCAGATGGGGTAAATGGTATTAACACCCCTAATTCAGATTAAAGACAACATGTTTGCAAAGAGATTAAAATATAAAGTGAAGGAAAGCTTGTTATTCCAAGGATAGGGACTTGAACCAGGTGGGGCTTCACCACTCCCGCCCTGCAGAGCAGAACAGGCTCCTGCGTTTCTCAGGCTCCCGGGGAGCAGCCCCACAGCCCTGGATCAACGAGCGCACTGACACAGCGCAGCTCTACCGTCCCACGGTGCTCTCGTGACCTGCACTGCAAACCAACCCACTGCCCCTCGGTTACGCGCAGACCAGTTAGGACACACCATCTTTGGTATGCACATCTTCCTCAAGCTCCTTGCAGCGCTCCGCAGGCGCCCCGGGGTGCAGACCAGCACCCAGCCCCTGTGAGCAGCAGTTACGGGCAGCTTCTCGGCAAGGCCTTGGCAAAGCCCCCAGTGCCGCCACGCTACCCTCAGGCAAGAGGAGACCAAGGGTACGTGTCCCCCATCGTCTTTGCAGGAGTTAGAGAGCAAAGCTGATGAGCAAGATCAAGCCCTAGAGGGGAACGTGGCACCCACCCAGCTACCGGGGGCTAACAGCAAGGGTTTTTTTTCCCCCCACACAGACGTAATCTGATTTTTCACCTTTAAAGCATCTGGTTCTGTTCGGTTTGGGATTTTTTTTTTAAAGCAGGGTTCAAACCTGTATAAGCTTACTATGAAACACATTAAAGTCTACTCCACTCCTGTCCCTAAAAAAGCAGCAGAGTGTTTATGAAGTGGCAACACATCCAGTGGTGGATCCAGGGCACCCACTTTTATTTCAAGCCAACGTAAGCCAGTCATGCAGCTGCTCAGATGGACGAGGAGAAGGCAGGATCATTTTCTCCCGTTCCTGAGGAATAACTGGCACCACCAGCGACACCCACGCTGCCTCAGGCTGTGGCCCCAGATCTGCCTTGGGAAGCGGTATGCAGACAGGAGGGCCATACCAGGGAAGCACTGCAGGCCAGAGCAGGTGGAATGAGCCATTCTGTGATGCACTGAAACACTGTTTGATAGCAACAGATGCAAAGAAATTCCAGCCACTGCAGCACACTGTCAGGGCTACAAGAGCAGCAGCCTCGGTCAGCAAGAGGAGTTGCTGGTGCCTATCAAGCACAACAGAGCTACGTTAGTTCAAAGTACTATATAGAAAACATGCAGCTTTTATATTTCATGTAAAACTGAATAGCAATCACAATATAAATAGTAACACTTGGCAAATCAAACTGAATACATACTGTGTTCAAACTCCAGGTTGTTTTTAATGGCAAACTGTCTTGAAGTACAAGGAGTATTTCTGCTGACCACTGTATTGTTTATGGAGGAATTTATAAGTTAACATTAAAACAACTCTCCTTAAGACTGCATAACAGAATCTTGTTATCTTCAGCAACTGTAATTCGTATTTAGTCAAAAACCATGCAGCAGTCTGTTTTGTCTAGAGTCCATATCACTTCTTGAAACAACTATAGGTTAAAAAAACAAAAACAAAGCCAGCTTTCCCATTATCATTTACTCCCTTTTCTACTTCCACATTTAAGTTTTGTAATAAATATTTCCTGGACTGTTTCTTCAAAACATGAGCCATTTTGTACCTCTTCTGTCAGAATAGTTTTACAGGCCAGCTGAGTCCAAATTGAGAATTTTACTTTCAAGTAAAGTTCATCAAGTTTTGTGAAAATACACACACAACCAAAAGGTAGAAAAAGTTTTAACCCTTTAGTTGGAGGTTAAAAGTCCCCTTTGACTACAGAATCCAGAACTTGATGCACTATTTCAAAGCCCTGATGCCCCTTCTCCTCCTTCCCCCAGCTTCCAAGTAGGGGAAGTTAAAATGAGAAAGTGAGAAAAAGATCTTAAAGAAATCCAGAGGCTCCAGTAGCCTAATAAGGAAATCCTCTGAACAGTTTGGGCAGTTCCAGTAGCACTTCCAGTAGTGTGCTTTACCTTTACTTTATGGATATATATTTAAGTAAAGTCAGGCACAAGAGAGCATTGAGGTTTCTGAAGACTCATGTAGCCCTTCTCTTAGGAGTCAGCACTACACAGAACTAACCGAAGTCAGAAGTTAGACTCTTCAATAAATGCCATTAGAAAAAAAAAGAGCTAAAAAGGTTCTGTGACAACTTGCAGAGCTGGACTCGCCCATGGTACCTCAGGGGCACTACATGCATGCTAGCTAAAAGACTACCTCTTCTGTGCGCATCCATATCTACTGCAGGTTTGCTGTTAAGAACTGAATCTAAGGTCATACTCTAAAAAACACACCACAAATTGCCCTTTAGCCTTCCAGGAACTTACATGACTTTCACATCATACAGATTTATCAATCTGAAATTTTTTTTAGGGTTTAATACAAAGCTGAAGTAACAGGCTAGAGAAAAGGCAGCTTCTGAAAACAATCATGTGTGCATCTATTTTATAGCTACCTCTTCTGCCTAGCCCCTCCCAAAGTTAGCCTGAAAAACATTAAAATCTACACAAAGTTTTATTGCAATCATACAAGGGATACAACAAGGGTCAAATACAACAAATACTATGATGCAATTTTACATTTATTAAACTACAGTTCAAAGCACAAATTTACACATTCTAGATACACTAAACATCTAATGAAGTCACACTGGTCTCCCACTGACATTTGATATATCTGGGCGAAAGACAGTAACTTTACAAGACTTTTCTAACAGGAATCCTTAGTATAAAAACTGTGTACTTGTATGTAAACTGTTGAAGAACCCAAGTGATGGGTTTCCATCTCCACTAAGTCATCCATTTTGTTGCATATTTAAACGCTCAGGGGTTGAATGAACTTGATTTTAAATTTGGATGCCATTATCTAACCCTCCCACGCCCCAGTGAATTGTAGCTGTAGCTTGTTTTGCCTGGTCCCCATTAACTATTACTATTTTTTCAAGTTTTGAAGAGAATGAATTGAATTCAAGATTGTTCCGTTTCTTCCACACTGGAATGTTGACCAGACAAACTACAGACTTGCAACTGCAGGTCTAAATGAAGCGTTAATGCCTGTTTAAGCTGCAGTGGAAAAGCGGTCTTCTGGGCTCAGCTGAATGCAAGAAGGCACAAAGAAGAAGTTCTTCATCAATGTGTCTGAAGCAATTCCAGCATCTTGCATCTCATCCCTGCAGCAGAAAAGGATGAGAGTTGTAATAGGGTGTTTTCATATACAATTTCACATCAGAGACCAGCCCTGAATATAGCTCTTGACATCTAACTGCCCCTGGAGAGGTTGGCCCCAGTCTCAGCAGACGGAAGAACCAGCTACGCAGGTGCTTGGCACACACAGAAAGGCTGTGACTCTCCACTGGCAGAAGCGCAGTGCCCTGGCTGCCTCAGCATTGCTCTCACCATCACAACAGCGTTACTGCCCTTCCTGCCTGCGACGATGGTGCTAACCTTGTGTGCAAGCTGCAGTAACTACAGAATCACTAGGTTGGAAAGGACCTTCAAGATCATCAAGTCCAACCATTAATCCAGCGCCACCATGTCCCCTAAACCATGTCCTGAAGCGCCACATCCACATGTTTCTTGAACACTTCCAGAGATGGCGACTCCACCATCTCCCTGGGCAGCCTGTTCCAATGCCTGACCACCCTCTCAGTGAAGAAATTTTTCCTAATATCCAATCTAAACCTCCCCGGCGCAACTTGAGGCCATTTCCTCTTGTCCTATCACTAGTTACTTGGGAGAAGAGACCAACACCCTCATCGTCACAACCCCCTTTTCAGGTAGTTGTAGAGAGCAATACGGTCTCCTCTCAGCCTCCTCTTCTCCAGACTGAGCAACCCCAGTTCCCTCAGCCGCTCCTCATAAGACTTGTGCTCCAGACCCCTCACCAGCTTCGTTGCCCTTCTCTGGACTAGTGTTGGGAAAGCTCGAAGGTTGATGTCAAGCAGCAGAAGGCTTTACAACTACCACTAAACTTGGAGTCAACATTAGGTATTTTGCTTTCCTTGTCAACCTTAAAGCCAAGTAGGCATTTTACCACAGCTCCCAGTTTAGTCTTAGCAAAGTCAGAATATTAAAAAAACACCAGAAACTCAAACCCACAACCTGAAAAGGTACACTCTTGCCCTCAGTTGCATCTTCCTATATTTGACATCAAATGTAATTTATACTTGGCGGTAAGTGTACACTCTTGAAGGATGTGAAAGCAATCTTGCCACTATGAAGAGAATTTTCTTACCAGTCACTGAAAGACATCATGTAGTAAATCAGTGGCCTCTGATAGTCGTTAAAGGTAGACTGTTCACCTAAGGTACCAGAACCCATATTATCAAAGATCAGCCAATCTCCAACACTCAGCTCAGGAAGAAGACAGTTTTCCACAATTTGATCAAGCTCATCACAGGATGGACCCCAAAGGCTGCTCGCAAACAGAGGCTCATCTTCCTTGTATTTCTAAAAGGAAATGATCCAGGTAATTCAGGCTTCAGTTTATTGAATAAGAAAGTTTTCAAGTATACATAAGGATAATTTCATAAATAATATGTTCTTATATAAAGTGTTTAATGTATAGAAAAAGTAAAAAATATATGGTCTATCTCTGAAGAATACAAAAAGGACTCACCTTGTGAACCTCTGGGATAGTACTCAGTTTCTCAGACAATTTACTTGCAAAAGAACCATAAACACCATCATTTACGTAATATGTAAATACTGGTTCATCATCATTCCTGGTTTGCTCCACTGGAAGTAAAAAAAGAAGTTATCTTGCATGCCATTTTTTGTCACAAGTAGCCCTTTTGCAATCTAATTCAAGTCAGGAGAAAGCAGTTGACAAGGTGGTTCCTTATATACTGGAATGGGAGACTTATGAGCAGAGTAATCCGCATGAGATCAGATTTTAAAATCAGTTGTAACATTAATGTGAGGCTTAATAAATTAATACTTTCAGTAGTAATCACTATTAATAACATAAATCCAATTTCTACTTTAGCAGAAAAGCAGCTTGCTCTATGGTATGTTCTTCTACGTTCTTCTAACACATAACCTTCTAATACACCTTCTGTAAAGCACCCAGTATAGGTAACACTAAATAGTGTTAATTATAGTAAGGAAACAAGAAGTGCCACATAAATGTAACAACAAAAGTGAGATACACAGATAACGTATGGGCAGAACCCAAAAGGCAGATTACAATGCAGGCATCAGGGAATGTATTAAATAGGCTGAAACACACTAGTCCATTCTGACCAAGAGTGGGCAGTTATTGGTACCGATTCCTAACGCATAAAAGATAAATACCAGCCTTACCTCCAGAAGGAAGAAGTTTATCATACGCAACAGCCTTCTTTGCAATGATGTTAACTGCTAGTGTAAATGCAGATGAAACATAGTAACACCCAGGCTCTGCAATCACATTAACACCAGATTCCTTAGGAAAGTAGACATCCAGCAATGGCCTGATGACATGATTAACCTAGGAAATTGTCAGGGGTAAGACCAGTCAAACTCAGCTTATGTATATAGCACATACACACACTTTCAGTCAGCAACAGTTCTAGTGAGCACACCAAAAGCTTACTCTGTTCCTCGATTCTCCGAGAAGTGTTACCAGAGGTCCAAAATTTACAGAAATGTTTAAGAAAATAGGTCATTCTGCTGAACACTGAAGACTGAGTTCCATGAGCCCAAGTACTACACAGTCCCTCCTCCCAACCAGAGTTCAAATTGTGGTACACTCAAGACTGCACAAGTAATTTCAAAGTTTGTCCAGCGCAACAGATAACCTAAAATTACATATGAATCCAGAAGAACAAGGGCCTTCTTGTGATCAGTTCTCAATATTGTTGTATCAGAAACAGAATTATTTAATACTGATGCTCAAATCTTAAGCCAGAGGTTTCAAGATTAACAAGTAATTTGAACAAGTAACTGAGCAGTTAGAACGAAGAAAGAAAAGCCCTGATTGCTGTTAGTAACTTTTCACTGAATCACTTTTGCTGTCCTACATGCAAGGAGTTTGTCTTTAAGACTACGTAACAGTGTAAACAGGTTATGCTGTTTTATGTGCCACTGCATAGCAGAAATCCCATTCAGGCCAAATCAAAGGCTAGCCAAAGCAAAGATAAAAGCAAGACCTTTAGTCTTCAGTTCTTAAGTACCAGATACTTTCACACAGTAGCAATATGGTTTATGATCCAAAGCATGCTGAGCAATCCTGACCCAAACCATGCAATAGAGTAACCAGCTGGACAACAGTAGTCAACTGCCAGAAGAACTGAGTTACTACTGTTAAAGTGGCTTAGGATAGTAATTTAATCTGTGACATGCTTAAATCAGCATTTACCCAATATGAACAGGCTTAAAAAGAAATAATGATCACCTCCAAGGACCGATTACACTATCCACAATAAAGAATATAAACCCAATTATTTGATCTTATAAATTAGTCTAACATGGAATTTAGAACAGGTTTCAGCTATCAAGGTTAGTTGCAGTTTGAAGGTTAAACACTTCAGTATCCTAAATCAAAATTAGAGTTTCAACTTCCAATACACTGCATACCTCTTCCAGCTGAAGTTCTGAACCTGTGAAGCCTCCACCGATATCCAACATGTTCATTTTAAAGCCAAATTCTTCCTAAAATGCACAGGCAGAACATAAGTACAAAAACAGCTGTAAAAATATTTTATGTTGCTCCTTGCTGTGGTTGTTTTCTATGTACTTATACTTTTAGCATATTTAGCAGAGTATGTCTAATAACAGAGTAACAGCATCATAGAAGTTAGTACAGCTCCATTAAACCTAGCCATAATAGGATTGGGACATCAATAGAGGCTGGTTACACATTTCTCAAGTAGAAGTCCCACAGCCAACGTTAACTCCCATCTTGTGGCATTTGTTATATTCAGACAGTGTTTGCTGAGCAGGGTGGCGCATTCTGACAAAAGAAAGTTTTAGGAATTTACAAATATGTGTAATTCAAGTCTTTTGGATAGTGCATATGTGACAAGACTGCTACAATGAATTTGCACAAAGATCAGTGAGAACTTCAGCTCTGTTGCTCTCCATGTGTTACCAGTCACAGCTAATGCACTAACTGCAGTATAAGAGCAAAGAGACTTGCAGTCTTCTCTATGTAGTTTGAGCTTCTCATTTACAGGAAGACAGATGTTCAGAGATGGGATTTTTTAATTTTGGAATAAGAGAAAGACACACAGAGCATGTAAGACTCACAAAAGTCGTCTGAAGCCTCCAACAAATCCATTCCTCTTCATCCAAATTTGGATATTCCCCCCCCCCCCCCGCAACATGACACTTATTTCTTATGAGGCTTAGTTATTAATATCAGGTCACATGCACCGAAGTAGCGGTTATATCACCATAAATGCCAGCATACAAATGCTTAATATTTTAACATAACTTAGAAATGTCAACTGTGTATTTGCAGGACTGAGATCTGAATTTCAAAAAGCGTTTACCAAAAGTGGGAAACTAATTTTTATTTGAAAATAGCTACTGCCTGTCAGTGGGACAGTATTCATTAATCTTTGTCCACAACTAGGATTATAAAGTTTGTTTTACCTCCACCACATCTCACAATGGAGTGGTTACTCCCTTATTAAAAGTTCAGTTTCCCCACACTGATACGTTTTGGAAATACTGTAGTTGGCTTGTTAGTATGATTATGATAGAATAGAATGGATCCTCTACTGCAGCAGTTGCACATACACATGCATATATCTACTTACAGCCATGTCAAACACACACCGAGCATCAGATATGGCATGAATGTATGTTTGCAGTTCCTTGCAAGAGCCTGAAACATGAAATCTGAAAGAAATAAAAACACAGTTAATAGTCTGAAAGCTGCATGGTTCAGTGTAAGTTGTTTCACCATCTAAAACAGCAATGGAAGCAATTTGTTTCCAAGTGGCTCAAGACAATCTTGCATGATAATACAGTAACTGCAAAGAACAAGCTCAGATGATTACTTTTATTCCATTGGATCTTGCTCTTAATGCTAAGAATGGCAAGATATTCTATATCCAACAATATTCTCATCCAAGAAATAACAACAGATTTGCCAAACCTTTCAGCCCTCACCATCAAAGTAGTTAAAATTTGTTCTTCAGTGGGTGCCAATGCCAACACAGTGCCTTGTATACAGTCTCCCCTCTCTTACCCTACTTTGTATTGCCTTGCCTGTACACCCTCTCTCCTGGCCCATCCAGTTTTCTTCTCAAAGCTAGGGCTGTACTGTGCACTATCTACTCTCTCCAGCATTTGAGAGGGTAAGGAGGTGTGTCCCACTGCCACCCTGTTCTGAAGCTTCTTCAACACCAGGCCAGGTCCTAGTTTCACAGCAAGGCCAAACAGGCCGGTGGGCAGGACATTGGAAGCAGAGAAGTACTGATGCCTCCCACAAGCTCCTGAACCTGCCCTGGTTCCCTGTCCAAAAGGTTTAAGTACTGCCATAATACTGCTAATAACTGAGGTGCTAAAACAAGTGTCAACATGCCCATGGGTTTCCTAAAGACTAGTATGGTCTGCTGGCTCTGGACATACCATACACACACCCATCTGAGCCACAACACTCTCTACTCCAAGTCTAGTCCTTTAAGGAATGCCACTTTGAGGCAAAGGTCACATTTTAAACTTACTTGCTTGAAAGCACTGGGGATTTTTTTAATAAACACAAAAAGCCATGTGATTTTTTTTGTTACAGTTACTTTAGACATTATATAAAAGGTACATTTTCTCAGTAGTATCATCTAATTTTTAAACACATTTGTCATTTGTAATGATTACAGTACATTTATGCTTTAATTTAACATCAAACAGATTTACATCAAAACAATTGTGGTTTAAATCCTCAAAATCTGGCTTCCATTTTACATACTTTACTGTCTTGATGACCCACCCTTTTACTTGTTTGGTTTCCATCTTAAAACATTCATGAGCATGTGATACATTAGTAGCTGAAGGCAGACAGAACAAAGACTTGTGCATACATTTTTTCTTCCACATAGTAAAATCTTTGTCAAACTTCAAATTAAAATACCCCAGATCATTTGGAAGCTCTCAGAACACTAGGATTCATTCCTGCCATCTGTGAGTCAAAAAAATTATCTGAGTATTTTGTCTTGGTACAATCAAAGAGTGACAGAGGACTTAACTCAGAAAATCCAACCCCATGTTCATCTTGTTCAAAGTCTGCCCAAGCTATTTCATGCTATACTAGCACTTATCTGTTACGCTGTTTATTGCTGGAAGAATAGAAATCGAGTTACCACAGAAGTTCAAGAGTACAGCTAGGAAACAGGAGCGGGTTCTAAACTTTGCTTTTATGCTGACAGCAGGATTTCTGATACTCTATTTCAAATTGCTTTGATGTCTGTAATAGTTACTTTGTTTCGCACTAGTTTTTGCTTGTATATTAGTGCTTTGCTTGCAAGCAAAAACTCATCTAAAAAGTTGTTTGCATTTGTGCCTTTTTTTTTTAAAGAAACCCTATAAAATAGTGCAGGGGGATGATCTTTTTTTATCCTACATCAAGTACATCATACAAACATCTGCTCAGCCAGCAGAGAACAATAAAGCCACTCACTTGACACCAACTATTTGGACTCCCAACTCCTTAGCACATTCCATGAGGTGCCTACAGTTCTTCAGGGTGGTGCCAAACTTCATATTCATCTCCTCATCAGCAGTAATGTCTTCTGTGGCAATGTGCAGTAAGAGCCTAAGAGAAGGGGAAGATGATTTGGGCAGTTGGTTTACATCATCAGCACATGTGAAGCCTGAAGACTGTCAGAAGTGTGTTCATTATGTTGTCATTACTCCAGCTCCATCGATGGATGAGTCAAGTGAACCTAATAAGAACAATCCTGTACAGAGAAAAAACTAGCAATTAGGGGCTAAAACATGGAGCCAACAAGGACAAGGGATTTCGAAATGCAGCAACTAAAACTTTTGCTGCAGCAAGAGTCTGTTCAGTGCTGTAATAAAAGAGAATGTTACCTTCTAATAAAGTATACTTCCCCATAAAACCATTAAGACTGTAATATGCTTTTCCCATCTCTGTCCTCCTTTCTAGCCAAGAGGAGAGCATGAAGATTCTCCTTCAGTCAGTCACATATCAGCTTTGGTTAAACCCAGCACCTGGAGAATATCAGGATGACACACTAAAAGCACAGCCTGGCCACATCCCTCCACCTCTCTCCTGGTTGAACACATGGACTGGTGATGGGGTGGGTGTCTCAGTCCATTCCCTGCCCCTTCTTCCAGGGCACTTGTGGAGGAGGAAGGCATCAAGTACCATCTCTTACAGTATTATGTAGTGAGACAGCTTCCTCCCTCCAGTCAAAGCCTCATTCTGGACAGGTTTGGCAAACTGCAGTGCCAGTGTTAACTGTTTTCTACATTAAAGTAACACTTGAGTGGCAAAGGCATGTTCACATCAAAACATCTAGAGGTATACCCCCCAAACCTCACCAATTCAAGCTGCTGTCCACTGAGAAAGTCACTCCTCGCCCCCCACCAAGATCAATTAATGAGCCATGTGGTAAACAGAACAGAAGTTTCATGACATACACAGACTACACAGCGCACATTACATTTAACCACAATGGAGAGCATAAACAAATGGTAGCAGCTCTGCATCAAAAGTGAAATAGTTCTTTTGAAGACATGCAACAAGCCAAACTTAGCCTAGCTGCTACAAAATCCATTTTGGCCTAACAGCTACCTTGACTTCCAAAAGCCCTTTCCAAATGTCTCATGTGTTTAAAATACATTTTGTAAAGAGCAAAACAAAAAAAAATCTCATGTTCTCACACAGGTTGCTCAGCAATCCCTGTTGATTTTAAATTTATACCACTTCATCTTGAAAAAACTGTGACTAGCCTCTCATTTCCTTCCTCTCCTCTAGCACAGACAATTCTGTTCAAGAAATCTTTGGTTAAACAGTATTTTGTAAAGCATTTGGATAGAGTGCTAGACGTAACAAAAACTTGTCAAAAGTTGAACTCTAAAATATGAAAAAATTTTACATCCTTAATACTATGGCTTGGAACCTCACATTAAGTTTGGACAAAATTTCTTAAAGACTTCCAGTGTTAAATTTTAGTGATTGTTATGGCAGCTTTGTGAGTCAACATCTTTTTCTAGTGCAAGCAACTGAAAAAGTGTAATTCTGATTTTTAGTAGTCTAGTAGAATTCTTCCTGTGTTTCAGCCAGTTAGAGCAGAGCTAGAGGAGGATCTGTGTGTTTGGGGATTTTGTTTATTTTTAAGAAAGCATTGATACTTTCAACAACCATGCTTCTACTAGAGCTCTTAGGACACCAGCAACCTTAGCAGTTACACTTTGCCTGGAAAAATCCAAAGGTATAAAGACATGAAAGACTAAGCATTCCTTTCTGACATTTCTCCTCTTTCTAAAGAAAAAAAAACAATTGCAAACAATTGCACTCATTTGAGTTACTAAGACTTCCAAAGGCAGAAACATCAATTTAAAGAGACCCACACGTTACTGAGTTTAGTGCAGAAAGTCACCAGAGTTTTCAGAAGATGAGAAGGAGAATTACAGCTTTCTAAGCAGGATTTCCTCAGCCAAAGCATAATTAGCTTCATCTACAAAAAGACAACCTAGCTGTAACAACCACACATGGGAAGAGCAAGGCTATATAAAGGCTTTGACTTTTTGAAACTATACCAAGGAAGAGAAAGAAGAAAACTCATAGTTGTCACTTCAGCATCAAAGTTTTAATGACCTGAATAAGAGAATTCTAATAAAACAAGCAAACAAATCTCTACCTAGTAGGAGAGCTGGAGATCAAGTTTCTAGAAAAATTTAGATAAGTTGCAGTTCTTTCATAGAAATTGAATTTTTTGTCCTTGGTAAACAGGAACTGTTTCAAGTATTAGGCTATGGGATCCTTGAAAAGCAGTGAAGAGTTTATATTGTTTTTCTCTAGCTCATGGAACTCCTTCATTCTGTCTCCCTGCTTCACAATTTCTCTGACTTAAGAAAAATCTGCATCCTAACTTCTCTTGCTGTGGATGTTACCATAGACAACATCTTCTAAAAGAGGCTATTAGAGCCAAGTGTAAAAGCTAACAAAACACTAAAAACACCAGTGATAACTGGTAAAACGCTAATGACATAAGAGACAGCTTTAGTTTTGCTAAGGCTTTCAAATGCAGGGAGTATGACAAGGCCAGCATTTTACATAGAATTATTTATCATACATAACATTCTTTGCACAGGAAGTACTCTTCAGTATGCAAAGCACTGACAGGCTTCCATGAAGAAGTGTAATCACTAGAAACAACAATATTAACTCTCAAGGTAGTTTAAAAAAAGAAAAAGAATAACCAGGTGGGATGAGTAGAGTCTCCAGACACTGAACTTGGTAGAATCTTCCCAATTCTGTAACTATGGCCACAGTTTTGGGAGAAGACACGACACTAAGGACTGTTTAAGAACAAAGGGCTTTGTAAAGGATGTCAGGAACTCAGTTTCTTAGTGCACTCTGCTGACATTTGTGGGAAGCTATACCTCATTCATCACTGGAAAGCACTGTAACATTCACTTAGGCTCTGACTCCAAATTTCTTGAAGGTGTGGCCCACAGCCCAAGTACTGATATGCAAGGGACATAATGTGAGCCCCTATCAGTCCTAAAGAGACCACGAGATATTGGCAGCAATAAAATTATTGTATTTAACAACGCGAACATCAGCTTTGATCAATTCTCTACAGAAGGCATCTGGGTCAATACTGAAGTAACTAAAAACAGAACTTGAGTCAAATTTCTCACTCTGAACAGTGGGGGAATACCTGCAGGCATATTTAACAGCCCTGCAGAGCATGCCCAAACCTTAGATGGGACCCAATGCACATGCTCATTTGCTGACAGTCTCAGTCCTGACTTCAGCTAAAGCCACTAATATCAAAACAAAATACCCTGAGAGAAAACACTGAAGCCACAACAGAGCAGGAGGAAGATATACTTGCAGATGATGAAGTGCCAGACTTCTGAAGTTTAATCACTGAAACCTTTACATGAAGATTGCCCTATGAAATCAAAATGCAAGATTTCTCCCAAAACAAGGGCTGAGGAAGCTGAGACCCAGTAGGGGAAAAGTTGCAAAAAAGCTACCTTCAAAAGAGACAGAGAAAAGAGAAAAATAGATACAAGTGAGTCGTATTAAAGAAGCCATGTACCTTGCTTGCAACTCAAACAACCCAGAACACAGGCAAAATTGAAGTTTCCACCACATAAAAAGCAAAACCAGAATTTTAACACTTACTTAGCATTTGGATGGTTACGTGCAATTTTCTTCAGCTCAATATCATTGTCACAAGTCATGATGTTTATCCCAGCTTTCGCTGCATACTTTATCTGAGAAGCTTGCTTGCAAGGATTTGTATATATAATGTTTTCAGGAGAAATGCCCAGGTCTTGTACCAATGCCATTTCAGACTGAAAAACAGGAGCATACCAGAGTTTGACAGAGCTTAGTGCACTATCTTTACTGAATTTTTATTAGATGTGCTCTAGTACTGTACCAAATAGTCAAATGCACTAAACAGAAAACTATCCACTGCTTCTAGGGTAGAAGTATAGATTTTCAATAGCCAGTTACACAGGACACAATTTAAATTACATTATTTTTTAACCATGGCACTTAATACCAAAAAGCTGATTTTAAAACAGCAGACAGATAGAAGAAAATAAGGCACACAGATACACAGAAAACAAAAACTTACTTTACTGGAACATGCAAATCCAACACCAAGGGTTCCCAAAATTTCAAGTACACCTGGAGTAGAATTGCATCTTACAGGATAAAATGGTTTTATTGGTGCCATCACATTCTGCCATTGTATGTTCTTCTTTACAAGCTTTCCAAGATCACCAACATAAAATGCTCTTTTTCCAGCCTAAAAAAAGGAAATAGGAAAATAAAAGTGTCTGAAACTGCAGATTCTCTGTCCAAACAAGCAACCCATGAAACAGTCTTAAAGAATTAGGTACATTTTCTTTTCATCTTGCTATTAACTTTTAGGTTAGACCTTGAACAATCCTCATTTTTACTTTCACCTACCAATTTGACCTAGTTTAAAAAAATAAAAGGGAATACCTACCACTTCATAGATACTATGATTGCAACTTAGACAATATTCTGAGATTCCCGAACAAAAGATACTATTCAAATGCCAAATGCTGATTTTATCTAAAAAATAGATTAGGTTACAAATCTCTTCCATCTTTGTATTTTCAGAAGTCTGCAACTTTTTGGAAGGAAGAAAATCCACTGGGATGATAGCTTCCACAGTCTCAACATAATCTATAGCTTGTTATACAAGGAATAAAATCTAATGCACTATCACTATTTTAACATCTAGCTAATAGCTCATGTTACTGAAAGTTTGTTTGATAATATTTTAATTCAGGAAGTCAAGTTTGAGACTGTTCTCCACATCTTGTGAAGCAAAAAGTTCAAATAGAATTTTAAGAACTAGACTCTGCAACCTTAACACACTTAAGTACACAATCTTTAAGAAAATGCACAGATAGTTTTCTGGAAACTGTTAACAGTCCCCCTTGTGCATCTGTTACCATAGTCTTTCTCCATATCAAGTCATGATGTGGATGTAGTGGATTAAAACCCAAACAGATCATTCTGTATTTGTTTATAATGTGCACTCAGTAAAATCCCTGTAAATGAATGGCCTACTGTCTATCAATTGAAGACCATCAGAAAACATATAATCGATCTGAATTAAGACTGTACATCAGATGTTAAATTCTAGCACTTGACTTTTGCAGATATGAAACTATGTTGTGGCTTATTGTATACAATGTCTTTATTTCTGTTTAAAAAACACAAATAGAAATTCCATCGGGTGGAAGCATAC